TATACCATTTTGAGGAAGCTGCAACACAGGCATGGTACCCTGGGGAAGGAAGAAGGAGAGGTACTCTGATGATAAAGTTCCTTCAGTGATTGTTCTTTGTGCCAACAAAAAGAACTTCTTGGTCTCTGTTAATGGAGGAACAATTAAACTGTGGAATATTCTTTTGGGGAAGTGCCTGTGATATGTTGAAAGGGGCAGACATGAAACTATATTTACAGTATGACTACAACTATTATAACAACAACAAAAAAAAAATCCTATACTTAGGGGGAGAAATGAAACAATATTCCAGTGTTGAGGGACTTGGTTTAAGTGGTAGACAAATAGGATTGCCTTTTTTTTTTGTTTATTTTTGAGAGAGAGAGCACAAGCAGGGCAGGGGAAGGGGACAGAGAAACCGAAGGGGCTCGAATTCACAAACCGTGAGATCATGAACTGAGCCGAAGTAGGATGCTCAACTGACTAAACCACCCAGGTGCCCTCCCCTGCTTTTTTAAATTCAAAATTCTCTTCACTAAGCAAGTATTTTAGAATAGAGAACAAAAAACCCAGACCTTCTTGAGATGGTAAAGGGTTGTCGTGGCCACCTAGAAACTCAAACAGCCCATTTCTTTGATCATTCTAGGCTCTGATGAATACGACAGCTTCAGTGAAGAGGAAAGAGGCAACAGCAGACCACAGATGTGGAGCAAATACCCTTTGGATGTGCAGAAGGAGTTTGGCTATGATAGTCCCCATGACCTGGATTCAGACTGATGATCCCATGAGATTCTATCACAGGCCCTTGAGGGCTCTAACTGCAGCTTCAGCCACCCTAGTAACATCCTTGGGTTTCTTAGCTTAACAAGTAGAAGGGAAAACCCATGTCCAACAGCACCCTCCTACCAGTGAAAACCTGTGCTAAAGGAGTGTGTCTTTTTCAGTAACAGTAGGGCCCCTTTGCCTCAATCAAAAGTGACTCTATAGTGTGGGGGGGAAAAATGCTGTAAAAATGATGCTTCCTGGCCTGGGGATTTTCCCATTCTACTCCTACACTAAGGCCAGTAAGTGGAGGAGAGCCTCCTGTTTCCTCAACACTAAGATTTACCTTTCTCATACCACCCGGCCACCTGCTTCCAGTAAAAGCCTTTCTTTTGATGGAATCTAGAAGGGCTATAGTTGGTCCCTTATAGCAGCAAAGACTGGATAGTTGTGGCCATAGAGATGGAAGTAGAATCTGCTTGAGCTATGAGAGGTTTTAAGTTAACAGCTGTCTCTACCACCCTGTTTCCTGACTCTGATAATGGTTGTAAAGACTGCTGTCTTCCTTTGGCAGTGGTGCCAGAAAGAACAGGATATGTATGAATGTGATACTCTTATGTTTAATAAAAACTAACTTTAAAAATGGGAGCAAGTCATTCCTTGAAAACCTTTTAGTTTTTATTTTTTTTAGAGAGAGTGAGTAGGGGAGGAACAGAGGAAGAGAGAGAAACTTAAGCAGGCTCCACCATCAGCACAGAGCCCGATGTGGGCTTGATCCCACAACCCTAGGATCATGATCTTAGCCAAAATCAAAAGTTGGATGCTCAATGGACTGAGCCACCCAGACGCTCCTCAAAAACCTTTTTTTAAATATTTTTTAAATTTTTATTCATTTTTGAGAGAGAGAGACATAGGGTGAGTGGAGGATGGCCAGAGAGAGGGGGAGACACAGAATCCAAAGCAGGCTCCAGGCTGCAAGCTGTCATCACAGAGCCAGACGCAGGGCTGGAACTCACTAACGATGAGATTATGACCTAAACTGAAGTCAGATGCTTGACCAACTGAGCCACCCAGCTGTCCCTCCTCAAAAACCTTTTAAATCTGAATGGCTTTACATGTTTTCCCACTGTACCTCCTATCTCCTATCCCCACCCTCGACCAAAAATGGGCAGGGGGGGAGTGGTTAGTGAGACAGCTTTCAGGATTGACCTTAGACACTAAGGACTTCAGGCAAGTGAGGAAAAGAAAAGCATATCCTGAACTTAGCTTTCCAATGAGAAATGTTAACTATGCACAGTACTCACTAAAAAGTGATTAACAGAACTTGGACTCCCTATAAGCAAACTCTGTCCCTACTTTATTCCATACCACACATCTTTGCTCTGAGTTGGCATTTATTCTTCTAAGAGAACACTGTCCCATAGAACTTCATGCACAATAATTATGTTCTATATCTGTACTGTACAATAGTAGCCACTAGCCATATGTGGCTCAGCTCTTAAAGTTTATGATTAGTGCAACTGAGGAATCAATATTTTTAAATTTAATTAGCTATATGTGCCTAATAGTTAACTGTACCGGATAGTACAGGTCTAGGAAAATAATACACAGAAATTTTGATTCAAAATGTGCCTTCTTGCCCTGTGGCACGAACACCCATCACATGGAACGATGAGTTGCACAGGGATGTCTTCTACCCACATCTTTTATAATTTAAGTATCTCTCTTTTTCTAACCTGCCTCCACCCATTCTTTCACTTTATGTTCATTTTGTAGGTCTTTCCTATATTCCTAGATTTATGTTAAACCTGCCAAAGTGATTAAATTCCATATGTACTCTTGTGGCTACAAAACCAACAAAATGTTAGTTTACCATCCTAACTATCCACAAAGGTACAATTCAGTGCTGTAAGTAACAGGCAGCAATTTACATGTGTAATACTAGTCATCTTAGTCTCCTGTAGGCATAGAAACAAAGGCTTAAAAACTACTCAGTGCCATTATAATGTGCTCACTGCTGTTTCTATACTCATTAAGGTTTGCCAACATTAAAGGGCTGACAACCTCACATACTGTGCCTACTGCAAAAGGGATTAGCACACCAGGAGAAGGATTGAAGGAGATGAACAACAAAGACCTTGCAGAAATTTAATTCCACCACAAAACTTGAGTGCTGTAGGAAGTCTCTGGCTTCCCTCCCACAGATGGGTTCTTGGGTGAAGTCTGTATCCAGCACAGAGGGGAAAAATGCAGGTGCCATCCAGTAATGAGAGGGGGATGACATGGCTCACTAAGCTTGTATGGGGTCACTTAGGGTGTGAGGCCCATGCTTCCCCCAGGAGCCAGTGGGGGGCAGCAAGTTCTTGGGACTAGCTGGTCATTTACTTCAGTGGAGAAAGCTAAAACCTTGGTCAGGGATCCTCAAGACAAGCACACACCACTTCAATGATTAGCTCCAGAGGATCCCTGGGAAAAGTGCCATCTTGCTTCAGACAGGAGTCAAGTTTACACAATCTAGGCAAGTCAGCCTTTGCACAGACTCCCTATTGCCCCAACCCATGACAGTAGGAATGTCCTCTCATTTTCTCATCCATGCATGCCCTGAACCGAAGACAGCTGTGCTCATGCTCCCCTGATTGTCTTTATTGAGCAAGTATGACCAAAGCCATTCCCCTGACTGCGACTGGGGCCATTTGGTGGAAAAGAATGATCAGGAAGGGAGATTGCCTCATTCTTGTCTTTACAATTGACCAATTCTAAAACCAAAGGATAAGAAGTCCAGGCAGGGGATGAGCCAAGTCTGCAGGTTCCTCTGGACCCAGGATGACAGTGTCTGGACACATCACAGGACAGATGTACAGTCCACCGCAACCATGGCTGTCCATGAGGGAACGAACATCCATTAGGCCAAATCTGCTCTGGCCTGACCTGGATGCTAAAGCACAGCCTGAGCACCAGAATTAGTTGCTTCCAATCACGCAGGCTGCTGAGGAGCCAGATTTGAGGATGAAGCAGCTTTTTCCCCCCTAAGTCTTCACTATCTCCACAGGGAGAAAATAGAGGTCCACACAAGTACCAAGCTCTTCCTGAGACTGCAGGCCCACCAAACCTCCAGCAAGCGGAGGCAGACAGGACAGGTATGCACTATCCCGATGATCCACACCAAGACAGCTCGGAGTGTAAACAGAGCCCAGTGTTGGGGATAGAAGAGGAGCATGCAGCGTGATGTGAGGTTTTCAGAAAAGGGAAATGACCACTTCTAGCACCAAGGTGGGCTTGTGTGGGTCTGCACAGCATCCCTCACACTGGCCCTTACAGAAAGAAACAAGCTATTTGGTGGCTTGGGTCCATGAGATGGTCTCTAAGCCATTGACAGCTGAGAGAATTCAGGGAATCCACTTGAATTCTAGAACAGTTCATGTCCTCTTAAAGTTCATACCAGAAACCCAGAAATTTACCTTCTATCATCTAGAACAAAGACCTAAGGTCTCAAGTAAAATAAAGGATTATCCTTCAAAATAGCAGTATTACCAGACTTCTGACTCATGAATTTGTTCATTTGTCCTTGCTGATTTGAGCCAGGTGCTTGTAATCTGTGACCTATTGACTAACGTGTAATTGATACATGAGTTTAAAAAAATCTTTAAAGTTCACCTTTGCAGCTAAGACTCAACAGAAGAATGTGCTAAAACCAAAAAATCTGTGGTCTGAGTCTGATCCACCACCACACAGAGACACCTCTAAGGGCAGAGGGACTCAGTTTGGAGTAACTTTGAATTTTTAAACACAATCAGTCTATGGCATTCAGTAGATGAATGAACACCAATGGTTTGCTAGAACTGGGGTTCTGGATTAAATAATATCAATAAATAATGGAATACAGCCGTCTTTCCAGGGAAAGATTTTGAGTCACAGGAAGAAATGATAGCATTTTAGGCCTCTACAGTCAGATGCTTGGACCTGGTCAGAGGAAAACTTGCCATAAAGCAGCCCCTTTTGTAGAGACTTCTGATTCAAACCTCAAATATCAAATTCAGAACCACCAGCCACAGCTATTAACCTAGCACTTCCTTTTCCCCAGTGCAACTTGCCAAGTGTTTGGTAAGCTGTACCTACTCACCAGAAACAAAACTAAACAACTATTCCCCTGACCCCAAGCCCTCCCACCACCACTTTCTATAGTTCCCACCTTCAGGCTGGCCTCAGACCCTGAGTCTGCTCCCAATGAGAGTGACCACCAAAGCAGGCCATTGGCCCTGAGCCCCCTTACATAATGTGGCCCACAGGATCCTTTAGAACAAGAGAGTTGGGCCTGTACAGTCTTGTCATCTGGACTTTGGTGGCTGTGGCTGGTCTTCCAGGCCTCAAGGGACATCACCTCTGGCCTCTAGTCAGTTTTCCTTTCAGCCTTTTTCTCTTCAGCTACATCAAGCTCGGTCAGGACACAAAAGCAAAGCTGCTGGGTGACTTTGGTGATAGCAGCTAAATGAAAATAGAGAACAGAATTCAGCAAACTGATGGTTAGCTACAACCCCAATAAGAACACCACAGTGTTGATTAAAGCACATCTATGGCCCCCTCCCACTTGTCCCTTGGGTATCCTGTGCCAGGCTGTGCCTCTTAACCCCATAAGCCTCACTGTCCTCCATTCCATGCCCAACCAGAAAGTGATACATGACTCCCCATCTCCCCACATGGATTGCACTTTCAGGAGGGAGTGTTTTAACCCAAAAATAGGACTCTAAAGTTAGAACTAAAGTGCTCATGTCACTGAGAAGTCACGTGGTCTCCAGTACATCACTAGTATAGGGGAAGCTTTTAGCCACCACTCCTACCTCTGCACACATCTGTGTGTGCACGCGCACATACACACACACACACACACACACACACACACACACACACACACAGGCAGTGAGTGATGAGCAAAGAAACTTACCCAGGACATTCCGAATAAGTAGTGGCCTCTGGGACTCTGGCAGATAAACACCCACGAAATAGACAGGAACCCCGGAGAGGGCAATCCCGATGCCAATGAGGGAATTGATGGTGTCACTGAATAGAGGCACAATCACCAGAAACACAGAGCATGTGCAGAACACGATGGGAAAAAACAGGCTCAGCTGAAATGGAGGGAGGTGAGATACGAGGTAAAGCACTATGCGGGAACAGGGTACAGAGAAGTCACCTACAGGAGATGGCCCACCCCTCCTAGTCTGTCCACAGTCACTGACCTTCAGAGGCCGGAGCCGCTCAGGCTCCTTCCAGCGAAGATAGAGCTGTCCAGCAACAGACAGGCCCACGAAGAACCAGTAGCTAAAGCTGAAGTAGTTGATGAGCAGGAAAACATCTTCCACAGTGAGGTAGATGAGTGTCATGGTACACTGGAGGAGGAGGGGATGGGAAGAAGGAGTGGGCATTGTCACTAACAGGCCACCCCAGGAGACTACCTCCAGTTCTTTTCAGTGACCCCTTGGCATCAGATAGGTCAATTCTCTGCATTAACCTTCAAGGTGGCATCTCTCCCTCTTCTGTTGGCTCTTCCTATACACAATGCCTCCCTTCTTTTTTGCAAGCACTTCAATAAGAAGCCAGACTCCTTTCCCCTTCTGATGGCAGATATTTAGGCCCTCCTCACTTTGATGCATCAACCTCAACATGAAACACACTGCCCTCTGGAGACCATCACTCCTGAGTCCCAACTACCTGGCTTATAAATGGAGGAAATACCTCCAGAACCAACTCACTGTCCTGGGGTCTTAGAAATGTAGATTGGCAAAATGGATCTATACCCCTGATAAAACAGGTATGACAGAATTTGCCCTCTGGAACAAAAAAGTCCTAGAAGACAGAATCAGGGACTAGAGTCCTGGGGAAGGTCAGATTTACTTAAACTTCAAAAATATGGAGTTTCCCCATTTAATCTTTTCACCTATTATCAACAAAGGATTTAAAACAAAAAGAGCCCATTCTGGGGAGAGAAAGGGGACTGTATTGAAAAAAGTGGGGTGAAAGAGGATTCAAAAACAAGATGTCAAATCTCCCCTAAATTTATAAATTCAATGCAATCCCAATAAAAATACTGAGAAGATTTTATGTTATTTTGACAAAATAATGAAGTTCATAAAGAGAAATACAAATGTAATTGCCAGGAAAACTTCAGGGGGGAAGAAAAAACTATAGAAGTATCCTTAGTCCCTGTTTAGATTTCAGAAATTCAGGGCGCCTGGGTAGCAGAGTCAGTTGAGCCTCCGACTTCAGCTCAAATCATGATCTCGTGGTTCATGAGTTCGAGCTCCACATTAGGCTCACTGCTGTCAGTTGGGAGCCCACTTCAGATGTTCTGTCCCCTTCTCTCTCTGCCCCTCCCCTACACATTCCCTCTCTCTCTTTCTCTCTCAAAAATAAATAAGCATTAAAAAAAATAGTTTTTAGAAATTCAGTACAAAGCTAAATAATGAAGGTTGGTGTTAATGGAGAAGATAAGTTGAGCTGATGATACTACTTAAGGGGTATGTAATTGTACTTGGTACATATGAAGCACCCTAAAAATTAGCTATTATTTTTATACGAGAATAATTTTAAACTGTGGATAAATGGATTATTTAATAAATGATATTGGTATGGCTGGCTAGCCATTTGAGAAAAAATTAAGTGAATTCCCCCCGCTCACTCCATACACTATAAATTCCAGATGAATCCAAAATTTAAACTTAAGTAATGAAACCAGAAAATAACTAAATGACATAAATAAATAAATAAATAAACCGTCCACCAAATCTTGGAGTAAGGTTTCTCAAGGCCTTTGTTGGCCTTCATATATATAATACCTTAGTGCAAATGAGAAAATGGCAGTCCTACTTCAGGTCTTTTCTCATTTGTTAGAATACTTTCATAATTTGCTGATTTTGTTAGAATAAAATGCTTTACTGCTATCTACTGTATATAAATCTATGATGTCTATAGTATGAATAGAGGCCCCTAGGTAGTTGGTATACAACTGGACTGGCTTTTCTAGATATGCTTTCATTAAATTAAAAAAAAAAAAAAAAAAGGAGCTAGAAAGGAGGAGAAGGAGAAGAAAAGAACTACTGACAGAAAAGATAGATAAATTTTACAAATTCATTTTTATATTCTTTTGTACTGTTTCCTTCTCTAATATAATTGTTTTACTTAAAAAAAATTTTAATGTGTTTTTATTTTTGAGAGAGAAAGAGAGAGACAGAGTGTGAGCATGGGAGGGGCAGAGAGAGAGAGAGAGAGACATGGAATCTGAAGTAGGATCCAGGCTCTGAGCTGTCCGCACAGAGCCCAATGTGGGGCCCGAACTCACGAACTATGAGATCATGACCTGAGCTGAAGTCGGATGCTCAACCAACTGAGCCACCTAGGTGCCCTGTTTTACTTTTATATTTTTAAAAAAGTTTAAGAAAAGAGAATAAACACTAAGAGGCTTGGAAAATATCTTAACTGACCAAGCCACCCAGGTGCCCTTTGGCTTGGGAAATGTCTTAAGAAGCTGCTATACCTCCCACCCAGTCTTCTCATAATGTCAGCAGGGGACTACAATCCCCACACCCGCCCCAGCAGAGCTTACATTGAACAATAAAGCAGGGATGGGTGTAAAACGCTCAATGTGGATCATGGACAGTACATCTGGGAGGTGGCCCTCACGGGAGCCCACGAAGAACAACCTAAAAGGACAAGAAGTGTGTCAGGATGATCCTTTCACTTAGCCATGCAGCCATACTCCTCAGACAAACTAGGCTCAGAGCTCCAGAAAAAAGCAGGAGGCAGTGTCTCAGGAGCATCACATGCTCTCTATGCATGCCCAACCCAACCTACCCTCACCCTCACCCCAACTTTACCCACAGATGTTTCCAACCTCCAACCATGGGTAGGTACTTCAACATTATCCAGGCACGTCCTACCTCACTGTTGGCCATGGACAACCGCCAGCCCCTCAGCTATAAAACCCACCAATCACCCAATGAATGCCTCACCCCCCCATCACTCACTGGCACTCCAATCCATTCCACCAAGGGTACCTCCACTCTATCACCCCACAAATTTCATACTTAATACAATGGCTGTTTAAAGAAGGGCAGCCAGCTCTCTCTCTCTATCTTCCCCGAGCTCCTGATATATGATAGGACAGGACAAGCCTGGGGCTCAAAGAGACAACCCAGGCTTCCTCTCTGTCCCCAAAGAGCCCTACTGATTGAGAAACAGAGCAGCAGAGAAATGAACCACAGACCAGGGTGTACAGCATCATCATGGAGCACATGGCATTCACCAGGCTTGGGAGGGCTGAGGGAATAAAAAACCTTACAAGAGATAACCATATCTGGGCTGGGAAGAAGAGTTGGAGTTTGCCAGAAGGTGAGTGGGTAGGTGGGAAACAGCATAGGCAAAGGCAAAAGAAGCTTGGAGGAGTGAAAGAGGGTGGCCTCCTTGAAGGTTGGTACTAGAATGCCTGCAGTCCCAGGATAAGGTGTGTGAGGAACAGCTGGAAAGAACTTGCACACAGGCCATGCTGTGGAGTCTAAACAAACACTGAGAGTCACCTGTGGCTCTGAAGTAAAGGCCTGACAGGATTTGACACAGAGACTCTGAGGGCATCATGGAAGCCAACTAAAGGAGGGAGAGGCTAGGGTATAGGGAGAAGGCCACACAAGAAAGCAATCTGTGACAACTGTCCCATAAGAGAAGAGGCCTGAATGAGGGTAGACACCCTGGTTTAGGAGAGAACAAGACATTTGTGACAACCTCAACTAAATTTGGTGATACATTACGTGTGTGTGTGTATATATGTGTGTGCACGCATGTACATGTTTGAGTTGGAAGAAGAGGGTAGACACCAAGGGAAAAATAAAGAGGCCACACAAGGAGAACTGATAGCACATAACATCACAACTAGAGACAAAGCACAAGTGGAGTGCATTGAGATACCTGTGGGCCATCCAGGTGGAGCCACAGGAGTTGAAGATAGCATCTGGAAGGGTCATAGGGCAAGATATTGGGAGTTGGCTCACACGAGGTTAATAATTTGTGCTAGGTAGAGAAGAAATATGGTAGAGGGGATGCTGGAAGGGGAGGTAATGTCCTGGTGCAGCAAAGGTGTCTAGTACAAAGACAAAGACAACTACATAGGTAATAAAGAAAAAGTGAGAAGGTAAGACAGAAACAATTGTGCATTATCTTGACATCACTGCAGTCCCCTTTATATGCAGACCCTTACTCTCTGCATCCCCTATCCCCACCCCCATTCTGTCAATGCCACAATATAGCTGAATGAGGTTAAAAGGCACCTACCACATAAGTATTTTAAGAAGACTGTCAGAGCTGGGGCACCTAGGTGGCTCAGTCAGTTAAGTGTCCGACTCTTGATTCCAGCTCAGTTCATGATCTCAAGGTTTGTGGGATTGAGCCCCACATCAGGCACTGTGCTGACAGTGTGGAGCCTGCTAGGGACTCTCTCTCTCTCTCTCTCTCTCT